AGTCAACAAAGTCATTGATGTAATGGAATAACCTGCCACCCCCATGAATGACTACACTATAGGTAGTAACTGCCTATAAGTAACTGTAAGTAAACGGACTACAGATTCTAGCTGGGATCTGTTGAGTACAACTCAGACTTACGCGAGAACTACCGACCTTTCAATAGTAGCAATCACTAGTGGATTGACTTGTTTTTTTTTACAATCTTGACTATGTTTTTGTACAATCTTTATCCATTTTATCAACCTTGTGGTGGATAAAATAAGTAAAGGTTTATTGTAAAAACCAATACAATAAGAATAAAGGTAGCAGTTAATGCACAAGGTCATTGCAAGTCAATCCATTAGTGAGGGCTACTATTGGAAGGTTGGTAGTTCTCGCGTAAGTCTGAATTCGTACAATCAACACTCAGTATATATTTCGAACTGAACTCTTTATTTCATCCACCAGGATAGATTTTTCTAGTTCTGGCGAGCACCTTAATACTAAAACTATTTCAAACCTCATACGGAAGAAGAAGAGGAGGAGGAGGAGGAGGAAATGAGGGTCTCGGTGTTTTTAATCGCTTCATAGACTATGCCTTGCACGTATACAAGCACACATATAGAGATGGGCATTGATCATTTAAACATTCCATATCGTATCTGAAATGAATATACTAATAGAAGCATCCTTCATGATTACCCCCCTCCTGATGATGAGGTGACGATTTGTCGATAACTTAGGCAATTATAATAAGGTCAAGAATGATATTGAATAAAAAAAAAAACTCAGTATCCTCTACAATTGCTAACAATGTTCTAAGATTTCAATTGTAAATTTCTATACAGGGTGTCCATAAAGTTCGTGTGCACTTTAAAAAATTTATAACTTTATTTGTATTTGCGATAAAAATAATCTGTAAAAACTGTTATAAAGTTTAATGTACCTCGTTTTAAGTATAGCTTTATGGACACCATGTATAGAAATTTACAATTGAAACTTATAATGGAGTGACAGAATAGAAAAAATTCTATGTAACTCGTTTCATCCTTTAAAAGGACTTCATCAGATTTCATCGTTGTCTCAAGTCCTTTTATATTTTTTTTCAAGGATAAATATGGAAAATCAATACAGTAGAAGCCCTCATATCCGGACATGATTTTGATGTGTATATTTGAACTATTTAGGTGATATGTTTGAAATTTCTGTTTTTCAGGAAATTTACTTTTGTTTATTTCACCATAATGGCTTGGATTGGAGCAAAAGGTGATGGGAATAAGAGGAAAAGAACAACTTTGCAATTACCGCAAAAAGTGAAAATTTTAAATAGACTAGACGCTGGTGAAAGTTCATTGTAACTAATGGCTGAGTTCAACATGGGAAAGTCAACATTGTATGATATAAAATCTTGCAAAGAAACTATCCTCCAGCGTTCACACTGTCACAATGAACAAGGAAATAAGAAACATGATTGTGATGAAACCTAGACTGAAATTGAAAAAGCTATTGAAAAAGTTGTCAGTTTTATGGAAAGAAAGCTAGCATTCAGCACACGCAGAGTTCAAAAGTGTCTTTCATTTAAAAAATTTCAAGAACAAAAGCAAAACGAAATGCAGAAAAAGTTGAGAATGACATTAGAAGAGATAGAATCTTCCTGAAACAGTGATTAAAAAAATCCTCGTTATTTTTCATACGTGGCATATTTAATTTAATGAATTTTCATTAACATTGCATAATTTATTTCTTTTCCTTAAAATCAATTCCGTTATATTTTACTTGTCATTAGCTTATTTTGTTTACTATAGAACATTGAAAATAAATGTTAAACTTGATTTCAGTTCTTTATTTTAATCTAAATATAACCTCTCATATCCGGACCAATTCCTCATATCCGGAAGGCCTTCTTAGTCCAGTTGTCAGGGATTCTACTACATATAGTTTGTTTTTTTTTATATCTATCAGTAACAATTTTAGGAAAAACAATAACAAAGTGGAAAAATTTATTGGTGGACGCGTTTCGTCCTTTAGGTCTTCATGGAACTAAAGTGATGTTTATGTTGATGCAACTACAGATGCACACAAAGGAGAAAGGATGCTGACAATTTTAAATTTCTTTTAAATATATACTTTGGATATTTAGTCTAGACAATTTCAGGATTTCTTTTTTGTATATATTTTTAATACTTTTGTTATTTAATATCCCACATTGTAATAATAATTAGATCTGCTAGAAAATGTTGTAAAAACCTGGATGTAAATTTAGTGTGGATGATCTAGCGATTAAAGCACTTTCTATACAATGTAAATATCATTTAAGTCCAATGAAGTCCTGAAGGATGAAACACGTCATACAAAAACTATTTTCCACTTTGATAAATGTGTGTAACATCTCCCCCACATCTGAGCTGTTATGGTGAGGCTCCTGTAAAATGTTGAGCTCTATAGCTCCTTAGGCTGGCCCTGATAAAAGTCTAGAGTTTTCATTATCTTAGAGGCCTTCTTTCCTCATTTAGACCAGTAGAGAGAAATGAAGTAGGAAGATTGTGTTGCACCAAATGTATTAGATCAAACAAGAAGACTTTAAATAGAGACAGTTTAGCCATAACTTGACCCAGTTATTCTATGGAAATTAAAATTTAAAAGTAGATTTTACAATCTGTTGTTAACTGGGGCAAAGAATGGCTTGTTAATTTTAATGCTTACAAAATGAAACTGCTGTCTTTTAATCATCTTAGAGAACCTTTTTTTTTGTTGAGCTAGACAATTTTTCTCAACAGAATGTATCTTACACATTTATAAGTCTACCATTCATACATACTTTCAATGTTGCTGCCACATCTGGTCTGGTGCTTCTGCTGTATATTTTGATATTCTTGATAAAATCCTAAAAAGAATCTGCAATGAATCCTGACCTGACCTCTCAGTTTCAGTTAATTTCCCACCCCACTATAATGTAGCTTTCCCGTGACTTTTCTATAAATATTTTCATTCTAATTTTTCTAATGAGCTTTCCTCTTTGGGACCTTGACTTTACGAATGTAAGTGCAGTACTAGATTGGCAGCAAGGACTCATCATTTTACAGTTGAAATGGTTAGATGGAACCGTAAGTTCTATGTTAACAGTTTCTTCTTTCCTACTTCTTGCTTTTGGAACTCTCTTCTGGATTTTTGCTTCCCAATCAATTTTGATCTTCAAAAATTGAAATACAATGTCAATTGTTGTCTTCTGTCTTCTTATTTCCTGTTCTCTCTCCTTAATTGTGTCTTTCTTTTTCTCATAATACTGAGTAACCCCCCCCCTTGTGTCTTAGTAGTTTTATTGCCTCTTCAAGGTGTTAAATATGAAGGTCCTTTTTGTTTTCATTTGCTCTAAAACTGTCAGGTTTGGTCCATGGCATTCTCAGCATCCTTCTGTAGAACCACATTTTTGTTGCTTCAAGTTTCTTTTTCATCTATGAGAAGCTTGTCCAGCATTCTCTGCTATATAGGGGGACTGATATTACGTAACCGTTCAGTATGCTTTTGTTTTCTTTGTTTCTAATGAAATATTTGTTTCTTAATACTTTGCTTAGCTTTTGGAAGGTATCTTCTTCTATCCTGTGTATCACTGATATTACAAACAAAAGATTAAAAAAAAACGAAATAAAAACATCCACACAATAATTATTGCCAGTATTTTTTTTTAACTTTTTTTAGTCTCTTATTGTTAATTTTATTTACACTTCTGTCAACATGGAAAAAATGTTGATCTTCAGCTGCCTGTCTGCCCATAGATAAGCAGGCTGGCCCTGTTCGGTGCTATTAGAGAGTTATTTTAAGAGAAACAGGAACAAAAGAAGAGGAGAAGAAAGAAATGCTGTACAAAAATATTTGTTCCACTTCAGGTGGTGGTGGGGTTAAGAACGAGGTGGGGATAGAAGAGAAATTGATTGTTTTCTCTTTTCTTCTTCTCATTCTGAAAAGAAATTCAGGTTGTTTTTTATATATATATATATATATATATATATATATATATATATATATATATATATATATATATACTTTAAAATGGTATACTTTAAAATTAAAATATATACTTTAGGGGTATATACTTAATAATTATATGCATGTATACATGCATAGTTTAAAAAATGTTTATACATTTAAAAGTGTTTTATATTTTTCATTTTAAAGGAATTCTTATCAGTGTGTAATTATATATATATATATATATATCTCACTTTTTAAAACCTATTATATATATATTTTTTAAAATGTATATATATATATATATATATATATATATATATATTTCACTTTTAAAAATATATATATATATATAAGCCAAATTTTGAGTGTAAATATATAAAAAATATATATATATATATATAAGCCAAATTTTGAGTGTAAATATATATATATATATATATATATATATATATATATATATATATATATATATATAAATACAAGCCAAATTTATATATATATATATATATATATATATATATATATATATATATATATATATATATATACACACACACAAATAAAAGGCAAAAGGAAAACTTTTCTTTACCAACCTATTTTGTCCCTTGATGGACTTTATCAAAAGGTAAACATGAGAAATTCATTTTGCAAAATTAATTCAGAAACAAAAGTAAAAAAATATCTTTATGATTTCAAAATGTTTAAATTTTAGAATTCTCTAAAATATTCTTAAAACTAATTATGTAAGTAAAGGTAAATTATTGAGGTAAAGAAATGTTTTCCTTTTTTTGTCTTTTTACAGATATATTTTATTCATATCTCAGTTTTTGGGTGTTAGTGATTCTCGTGTTTACAAATTTGATTAAATTTTTCTATGATAACAAAAAAAAAAAAAAAAAAACTTGCCTCTAATACCCTACCCCACGTTGTGTACTTTTACCAACAACTCTATCATTATAACCTTCTCAAACAGAGAGTGTACTTTCGAAGAAAAAAAAAAAAAAATCAAAGTAAAGACATTTTGTTCGGCAGGGTAACAATGTACAGTTCATGGTTTTTTCATTCTCTTCATTATTAGTTTGTTGTTGGATTCTTTGGGATTCTTGATATGATATTGATAATCTACTCGCATACTCTGCAATGCATTCGTCATCTCCTCCTGAAAAAAATCACAAAAGGAAAACAATTAGAAATCAATTTAAAAAAAAAAGAAAGAAAAAATCTTTCTCAGTTAGTTTGTCCTGTGCCATCTGTTTATGGCATCTGTTTTTATGAAAGGTGGCCAAATGTTATCAAAGAAGCCCTTGTAAAAAAAAAAAATGGCTGTTTTTATGTTTCGTCATCTGAACAATTTCTTACAAGTGGGTTGGATTGAGAACTTTCAGCACCCCACCATCATATTTCTTATGAAGAAAGACAACCGACCTTCTCTACACTAAATTGTCGAACAAAGACTCATCCACTCACAATGAGTAGGAACATCTGCTTATAGGAACAGGGTAGCAAAGTGGGTCACAAGGTTTACTGTCGAGTTGTAAGCATTGCCACACTGAACTACGGTTTTCTCTATTATTGTATTATTAATAATCCACGTCCTCATGTGATTAAATCTTTTCTTCACTAATCTTTTCTTCCAGTGTTTTTCCTTCCAATATTATTAACCAGAACTACCAGTTTATATGGTCTTTATAATAATATTATAATTGGAAATGGATGTATTTAAAAGAATCATCTGTGGAAAAACTCCTAATAACAAAGATTTTACAAAATTCATATGAGTTATATATCAAATTATTCTAGAAAGTGAAGATTTACTCCTTCCACAGACACCCAGTCTCAGCTAAACCGCCATCTTGTCAAAGGAAACTACAACAACAACAAACAAAGAGGAGATCACTCCAGACTTCCTTTTATCTATAGACAAGAGGAGACAACTCAACAGTCTTAACTCAGATTAACAGAAAGGACTGAGTAGAAGTAATTCTGGCAGCTAAATACTTTGAAGGATCCAAACTGATGAAAGGTTATCTTACCTGCACATCATACCATTCGGTGGCATCTTCTCGAAGATTTTTAAGGGACAACAGCGGCGTGTTAGGAACAGTGACAACATTCTGTAAATAAGAATAACAAATGATAAATAAACATTTTTTTTAATTTAACATATTGTATATAAAAAGCATCCTGCGTACCCACCACTAAAAAAATATCTCTCCTAATAGACTACATTAAGGTATTATTGCAAAGCAGAAATACCAAAAATCAAATAAATGCAGAAATTTAAATATCTGAGAAGTATTTTAACAGACTACAGAAAGTGTTACATGGAAATCCAAACGCATATTTGGATAGCCAAAGATGCATTTCAAAAGCTAAGCAGAGTATTAAGAAATAGAAAAACTTCATTAGAAACATGAAAAAGAGTACTAAACTGTTACATGATATCTGTTTTCCTCCATGGTAGTGAGTGCTGGACAATCTGAAGATGAAGAAGAAAATTGAAACAACAGAAATGTGGTTCTACAGAAGGATGCTGAGGATACCATGGACCGAACATGTGAGCAACAACAAAGTTTTAGAGAAAATAGAAACAAAAAGGAAACTTATACTTAGCATCAAGAAAAGACAGCTGAAATTTCTAGAGCACATAATGAGGAAAGAGGGCTTAGAAAATCTGATACTCACAAGACAGACTGGGAGAAAGGAAAATAATGCATAACCCCTAGTGAGTTTGAGTAAAAAGTTTGGTGAGTTTGGTGGAAAAGAGTTTAGAAGAAGTCTCTTTTCCCATCACGCCCAATATGGACTGGATTCACTCTAAAAAATATTTGATATTTAATATTATCACACAGGAAATAAAAATGAATTATAGTTTATACAATTTTAATTGATTTGATTTGTTTGTTTGTTTTTTTGTCTTATCAATCTGTGTTTGGTGTAACAGGGGTGGGTATAGGGGTGACTTCCTTTGACCATCCATTTGTACTCAGTTGAAAGATCTAGGTGCCTCAAGGGTTAACATAAAAGATAACCTCTTAGCCACCAAATGCAGAATCTGGCTTCAAAGGTCATTGGTGGATATGCCAACATAGAGAAGTAAAAATAACTGAAATTAGAACACAGACACACACACAGACACAAAGACAACCAAGAGTCCCTCACATCCTCGATAGAACATAGCTTCCCTCTGCCTTTTCTATAAATATTTTCATGGCAATTGTTCTGACAGGCTTTCCTCATTGGTACATTGTGAAAATCTCTCCCGGTTTCCTGCTTTCCTGACACCTACGATCTTCAAAAATTTAAATGCAATGTCAATCGTTATCTTCCGTCTTTTTGAATCTGGTTCTTTTATTGTACTTTCACCTCAGAGTCTGTCTATATTTCTGAGATGAGGTATTATGTACATTATTTACATTATTCGGACTATTGTCCTCATCTTTTTCGCCATATCTATCACAACATTGCACGTAGAACTAGAACAGTCTACCCCAGTGAGCGAAATAAAGGGTTCGGTTCGACATTCCAACCACCTGAAGAAGGTCGGAGCGTACAACGGCCGAAACGTTGTGATAGATATGGCGAAAAAGATGAGGACAACAGTCCAAATAATGAAAATAATGTACTTTCACCTCAATAACATTTTCTCTATTGCTTTTTCTCTTCACAACACCTTGCATCTTAGTGGCTTTATCACCTTGCTTGGGGTAAAATTTTAAAAAATATATAAGTAAATACATAGGCAAATAATGATTTTTATTTTATTTTCCATTTAATAATATCACACAGAAAATGAAAATGAATTATAGTTTATACAATTTTGATTGATTTGATTTGTTTTTTTTTTATGTCTTATCAATCTGTGTTTGGTGTAACAGGGGTGGGTATAGGGGTGGGAATAGAAGTGACTTTTCCTTTGAACATTCATTTGTGTTTTGAAAATACTTAGATAAGGAAGTGAAACATCAATACACAAATAGGTATTTCACATCAAGTAGTTATTATAATAAATACAATTTCAGAGGCCCTTCATATCAAAAAGATGGCAATTCATAATCAATAAAAGTTTTTCCAATCTCAGAACTCTGCTTCTTGCATTCAAATACCTTTGAATCATATCGTTATTTTAGCCACATGATTCTAAAGTCTGTTCCATCACCACAGCATGTAAAAATATGTCCATTCCAAACTTCAGATAATATAAACGCTCCACCATCTTTGGATTTCTACTGTCTTTCTTTGAAAATGACCAACAGCGGCTGAAAGGACTTAAAACTGTAGTTGTAAAGAAAAAAAAAAACTGTCAACTTATAGCAGCAATAAACGTCTGTAATAGATTTCTTGTCTTTTGACCACAACACTTGTAACCAAATCACAGTTCAAACAATAGTCTGTTGTAACAGTCCAACAGGCAACGTAGAAACAACAAAATGGGGTCACACATCCAACCTTCACTTCTCACCAGCAAAAACACGTGTTCATCCACCAAGCTCAGAAAATTAACTCTCATCATAAGTGAAAAAACAGCGGCTTTTCTCCCAAGAGATTTCTCTGATTGGTCACGTCATTCAGGGGAGGGAAGAACATTAGCATAGATTCTGGTCCTTAAGGGAGATTTTTGCTAACTACTTTTTGGTCATTTTTCTTCAACAGATTGTACACAAAATCCAAACATTTTTAAAAGGTACCTGATTATCTCTTTCACTACAAAAACATTACAAATAATTTCAAGACGTTTCCACCCAACACCAAATGACTTATTTGACATCAAGACAATCTCAGCAAAAAGCTTAACAGTCATTCCATGTCCATTCTATTTAATGTTTTAAATGAAAGATTTGTGTTTAAATATACTATATACACAATATGGTGGTCAAATAGACTTTAGCATGTTAATTTGACTAAAATTGGCTATAATGTTTAAAGACATTTTAGGACTTGTACCATGATTGAAATAAATTTTATGGATGTAAACCAAAGTTCATGTCAAACTTTGGACATTTAGCAAAACATGTATCAACCCACTGGCTATTTTCCTACTTTTACTCTCTTTCCCTGACCAAACATTACACACAATTTCAGCAAGTTTCTTTACATGTTGCCATTAAACAACTTATACAGCACTAGAAACTCAACAAAATCTTAGCAAGCATCCTTTGTCCATTCTATTCAATATAACGTTGAAACAAAGGATTGCTGCAAAAAAATACTATTTTAAAAATATACATGTTGTCGCTTGACTTCCCCCTTCTTTCCTTGAAAATGATTTATGACAGTCAAGAGTACTCAGAATGCTACATACAATTTCGGCAAATTTCTTTATGGATTTCAACCTGACAGCAAATGATTTATTCAACACTAAGAGAAACTCACCAAAAGCCGATGTTCCTTGTCTCTGTTCTATTCAACAAAATAAATAAAGGACTGCTGCCACTTAAATACACTTTGTCTTAATTGTTAGAATCTTAATCCTTTCAAAATGACAGTGTGAAGCTCAGAGTTACAATTTTAGATGGGTGTCCCTTGATGCATTTTTGGTTGTTGCTATTGTCATGGCTCCATCTTGATTTGGTTTTCCATTTTGGGTTTCTTGATTCTGTAGACATTGAGCACTGTTGGGTTTTGTTTAGGTTTGTGTCTTTTTCTTTCTTTTATTTCCTTTTTCTTTTTTTAGGCAAAGTTTTAGTTAGGTTTGGTTTTAGCAATTACCTATTATTTTGTTTATTCTGGGTATACCAGCTTTCAAATGAATAATATATAAAAAAAAAATCACTTTTTTTATTTAATTTTTTGCAGATTTGAATCATGCTGTAACAAAGGAAAAGATGTTTAAATATAAAAATATAAAACATTTGTATATTTTTTTTTGCAACTAAATTTTTTTTAGTGTGTTTGAGTGTTAAAGTTCTTAAAGCTGTTTGTCTATAGTTATTTTTCAAGATAAAAAAAAAGAAATGATTTCTTCATTGTATGTGTGAGAAAGAAGAGGTAAGGGAGAAAGTGAGGAGGAAAGTGTAAGTATCACATAGCTTGGTGCGGAAAAGTAAGTGTCATGTAGCTCGGTGAGGAAAAGTAAGTGTCATGTAGCTTGGTGAGGAAGACAGGTGAATGTGCAAGGGAATTTCTTTTAAGTCAAGCATTGTCACCTGTTGCCATTATCTCTCCTTGTTGCCTGGAAAAATTGCTGAAATACCCTTCCAAGGGATCACAAAGCAGATTTTTTATTGTTGGTGGGAATTCTATCTGCTGGTTGAAATATGTTGAATATTTATTTTCAAAGCTTTAATCTATTAACTAGAACAATGCACAATCCTCCAACTCAGAAACCTTCTTTTTTGTTTTGTCATTTGGTGTTTGACTGTCTTGGTGTTTATTTCTGTCTTTGCTCCACAAATTTTAAAAAATATAGAATGCTTTGTAACCTTCATCAAAAATGAAAACTGTCAGATAATACAAGATAATTAATCAAAGAAAAATATTTACAAAGAGGTTAAGATAAGTAACTTCTACAAATGCCTGTTATAGATTATTATTGCAGAGTTTTGTATATTTAAATAATTTGATGCAGCACAGGAGGACATCCTGGGGTGGTAGAAATTGTATGTGTAAAATTTCAGGTATAACTAAGAATATATCTGTAAAAACAATAGGAATAAAGACAAAAGAAAAACTTATCTAATACATTTCTATATATATATATATATATGATAAAATACAGTTTTAAGGTATGCTATACTTATGGGTAAACTTATCTTAGCTAATACATTTCTATATATATATATATATATATATATATATGTCACTGTAAACAAAACTGATTGGGTATGCCAATTCTGTGGCAAAATTTGTCGCAGTTTGGCTGGCCTGAAGAGTCACCTGCGAATACATAGAATTTGAGGAGAGTGGGGTGAGAACATGAAATAAAGGAGGTGGTCACACTCAAAACCAAGAGGACAGCCACAATATATATATATATATATATATATATATATATATATATATATATATATATATATGATAAAATACAGTTTTAAGGTATGCTATACTTATGGGTAAAAGCGCTTAATATCAGAGATATAGTGTATGTAAATATGCTCTCTATCTATGGGGGGTT